AAGGGATCTTTGCTTTACTTTGATGTATACTATAAATCAGCAACCCTTTTTAAATTTCGTGTGTCTATTATAAGCGAAGTGTTAACTTCCCTGAAACCGTAACCACTACAAGTGTTAAACTTTCAGTTGTCATTATGGCTACAATCTTTAATTGAACAGTCACATTGACGGTCAACTTTATGTGCATTTACTTTATTTATTGCAACATTCAGTAGGAGTAAACGTTCGCTTTGGGTTTTATCTCTGCATTTTTCCCCGATTACTTCTCATAAAACGGTAATTTTTGAAAATTATATTTCGTTATTTTTGTTGAAACCACTTATCTATATGTGTCTGAGACAATACATTTGTCTATCTACCAGATGGTTAAATACGAGTTATTACAGGGGGTACCTCGCGTGCACTTAGGGGCAATGACTAAAGGTACTTCACCGGTGGAGACAAAGATAAAGTAGAAGATGGGTATTAAATATAGGGCTTTCATTATAACCCTATTTCCACTAGGATTACACATAGAACAGCGGTGGAGACAAAGATAAAGTACAAGATGGGAGCAGAAGACTATTTCACTACCCCGGATGTTAGGAACATAAACCAAGTATATACTTGTATATTACACACCCACAAACACAACTTGAAAAATAGAAAGATTATTTTTCCAGGCGTTTCTAATATCTGCAGAGTACATTTTGCCCGCGTCACAAGACAGCTCTCTCTCCAGGCTACTCATATTTCTGTCATCTCTCAGATTCTGGTAAACAATACCTACGATAATTCAACTGTGCACCCTCGACCCTTTGTGATGTTCGTCCTAACAACGTCTGCTGGTATGCCATCTGTACCAGCAGTTGCCCCATCTTTCAGGATCTTGAATACATTTCGATATTCATTCCTACATCTCCAAGCTGGATATCAGGATTTGTTTCCGGAACTAATCTTTTCAGGTTTTCTTAAAAGTATTCAGACAAGGTGTTCTTCTCTTTTCATTATTGTTGATAGCTTTACTGTATCTATTTGAATCAGTCCACTTGGTTGAATGTATTATCTGTTGTTGTTTTTCACTTCTCTTTGTGGTGAGTTATGTGCCTGAGTCAATATTAATACCAGTTAACATTTTTTTGCTTCTGTTGACGAGGCAACATGCACGGTAAAGTAAAGGACCCTTTTTTTCCGCCCTCAGGCGCACTGGGCATATAGGGCTAAATCTATATTGTATAGACCAGTCAGCACTTGGTGGGTAACGTGGTCAAGGTCACCAGGACGGGGTTTTCTTTCCAGGACTTTACAGGGCACCCAGTTAAACCTGGGTATACCTGAGAGCCAAGGACTTTACATGGCACCCAGTTAAACCTGGGTATACCTGGGAGCCAAGGACTTTACAGGGCACCCAGTTAAACCTGACTATACCTGCTGGGAGCCAAGGACTTTACATGGCACCCAGTTAAACCTGGCTATACCTGCTGGGAGCCAAGGACTTTACATGGCACCCAGTTAAACCTGGCTATACCTGCTGGGAGAAAAGGACTTTACATGGCACCCGGTTAAACCTGGCGATACCTGCTGGGAGCCAAGGACTTTACATGGCACCCAGTTAAACCTGGCTATACCTGCTGTGAGCCAAGGACTTTACATGGCACCCAGTTAAACCTGGCTATACCTGCTGGGAGCCAAGGACTTTACATGGCACCCAGTTAAACCTGGCTATACCTGCTGGGAGCCAAGGACTTTGCATGGCACCCAGTTAAACCTGGCTATACCTGGGAGCCAAGGTCTTTACATGGCACCCAGTTAAACCTGGCTTTACCTGCTGGGAGCCAAGGTCAATTTTGACAAAAATCTAGCTCCGTGAGGACCTGAACCCACGACCTTTGGATCCGCAGGTGAGCTCCCAACATGCACTGTAGCCTGAAATAAATGTATTTAACTAAATGGATTAACGAAATGACGAAGCCGAACAAGGTGCACAAAACAACACAGATCAACCTTTAGGTCAGGGCCCGTCTCGACATGAACTAACTACACAACAGTAACAAAGGGGAAAGTACTCCAACAAGCAGCGCCCTCCGTGAGGTCACGTGAGAAACTATAGAAAGGTGATGTGGAATGATTACAATAAAATATTGGAAGGTTCGAAAATATTCATAAAGTAATAATGTAAAGTATAATAATAGCACAAATAACAGATAGTAGAAGTAGACATGTTAGTGACCGATAACTGGGACTTATAAGAGACAGAATACAATGATAATATGAGATAAAATAAAATAAAATAGACGTAACAAATAGAAAACATAAAATAAAAATAAAAATAATGTGACAATAGTAAAACTGTACCCTGAAGAAAGTTGAAAGAGCCATCGCATGTTTCTGTGCCTCTGCTGCATTGTAATGGGTGCATTCTGGAGACAGTCTTCCCCAGAGGTCGGCACACTGGCAGCTGTGCATTCACACGTTAGCTGTCCCCACAAGGAATTTACAGAAACATGCTACGAGCTGGAATGATAGACGTAAGGTTCTATAGACAGGCTTTGTGTCTGTAGCTTAGACAGTGACAACGAGCTTCGTAATAACGAAGTACAGGCTGCATTCACGGTGAGGCTGATTAGACAGCAGACCGTCTAGTCCTTTCCTTCGACAAGGGTATCAAACTACTCCACATAAAATTGCCAGCTAAAACTAAAAACAGCCAACGCATGCTGAGGTTAACTCTACAACGTTGTGTAAAGGATACGAAACTAACTATAGATCGGCGTCTTCATGTCTAACAAAGTGCATGCTGAGGTTAACTCTACAACGTTGTGTAAAGGATACGAAACTAACTATAGATCGGCGTCTTCATGTCTAACAAAGTGCATGCTGAGGTTAACTCTACAACGTTGTGTAAAGGATACGAAACTAACTATAGATAGGCGTCTTCATGTCTAACAAAGTGCATGTTGAGGTTAACTCTACAACGTTGTGTAAGGGATACGAAACTAACTATAGATAGGCGTCTTCATGTCTAACAAAGTAAATGCTGAAGTTGACTCTACAACGTTGTGTAAAGGATACGAAACTAACTATAGATCGGCGTCTTCATGTCTAACAAAGTGCATGTTGAGGTTAACTCTACAACGTTGTGTAAAGGATACGAAACTAACTAAAGATCGGCGTCTTCATGTCTAACAAAGTGCATGCTGAGGTTAACTCTACAACGTTGTGTAAAGGATACGAAACTAACTATAGATCGGCGTCTTCATGTCTAACAAAGTGCATGCTGAAGTTAACTCTACAACGTTGTGTAAAGGATACGAAACTAACTATAGATCGGCGTCTTCATGTCTAACAAAGTGCATGCTGAAGTTAACTCTACAACGTTGTGTAGAGGATACGAAACTAACTATAGATAGGCGTCTTCATGTCTAACAAAGTGCATGTTATTACAATACTGCTCACTATCTTAAACATAGTCCCGACATACCGTTACTGCTGTAAGTCAAGCAAATGTCAAATAAATAAAGGACTTTTTCACGACATACAACACATCAATCGTTAGATCGATTTGTCCTCTCTGGGCTGCTGGCCTAAAGTTTACCATATAATGCTGGGCTTTATGAATTACGTTCTGGGTGGCAGACCAACTAGGCAGATTCCAGATACCCCGTTTAACCTGCAAAGAAGTTATCATTAGGTCACTTGTATCGGTTACACCGGCCGGGGGTAACTTGCAGACCTATTTAGGTAAGGAGGATTATGTATGACTGACTGACTGACTGACTGACTATCCCCTTGAGGCATGGGACTCACGGCACATGGGTGATGGCGAGTTAACCAGCGAGATCCACTCTCGTTAAGACACGTCTTCCACAATTATTGTATAGGATTTCAGGACCATTGTTGTCAACGTGTGTGTTTCTTACCAGACGCTCAGCTCTCATCCTTTCTGCAATCGTTTCTTCTTTCATCAATACATTACGATCTCTAGGCTCATTTATGTATAGACCAATCGGCACTCGTCAGGCAATGTCTTCGTCCTCACACCAACTTACTGTACATTTCAGACTATTATCTGGTGCCCATTTTAGGCTGGATCAGGCTGGGAGCCCAGTCATGTTTTGAAAAGCTTCCTGCTCAATGTGAGTTCGAAATCAAGTCTCTAAAGTCTCCAGGCCAGCGTCTAATCGCCATGGCCATCGCGTCTCTCGTAACATCAATACTACTGGTTACATATGCATGTAGGAATATCGCCACAGACCTACTTAGTTAGTTATCTTTCCTCTAGAGCCTAGACTGGTGCATAGAGCAGAGGTCATAGCTCTCCACGCCTGGAGGTTCACTGCCACCTGTTTTAGGTCTTGGATGTTTGTCAGTCCCATGGTTTAGCCTTTCCTGATGATGGTTCAACGCAGGATCTCTCTTGGTCTTCGCGGTCTTTTTTTCCCTTCCGGTGTCCATCCATATGGGGTTTGATGGGAGAGTCTTTTCTTATCCACTCTGAGTGCATGGCTGATCTAGTTTCAACGACGCTTCCTTATAAAACTGGATACATTATCTTGTTTGGTCTCTTGTCTTTTTTTGCCTATCGGACATAAAATCTGTCCAGCGGAGACCAAGTGGAATAAACACAATTACGCCTTACGCATTAAAGCAGCTATAACCCAAAACCCACCCACACTTGACTACAGGTTATTTCGTGACCGCCCCCTCGTGCCCCAATATAAGTGTACTATACGGCAGTACAGCTCAACAGGGCTTCCGGGATTTGTACCGGTGTGATTCTCGTCCTTGATATGCTAACTCCACATACTGTAGTCCTAGAGGGAAAACTAAGCCAATGCAAACATGGGGAGTTTTGAATGGACCAACTTACAAGATTATACAAATTTAAGTCACACATTTGAAAAACAAAATAAATTAGCGACGTGTTCGCAAATCTGTGTTAATTAATGTTAACTGGTGCCATCTCTTTCAGAAACTGGGTATTGAATAGCGGAGTTGACAAGACACGGCTGATACAGAACATGCTGAGATCGTGTCCTACATCTGTGGCTCTTTTCTTTGTTTTCCTAGCAGTTGTTAGCTCACAGGATGAGCCAGACAGTAAGAACCCTGTTGGTGTATGTATAGATACATACATGCAAACAAACATATACAAATACAGGTACCTAGATACACACACTCACACATACACAGAATAACAAAGGATAGACAGACAGACAGCATAACATTATAAATATTGTTATTAATATCGATGCTAGCACTGCTTCTATATCACCCGTGTGTGTTCCGGACCCCATCGTGGGGAATAGATCTACTGCTCCTAAAACAAGCATGTCGTAAGAGTCGATAAATTGAGAACTTTCTTCAAAGTCAGAGTGCATCTGCGTAAGAGGCAAGTAGCCAACATTCTGAATACAGATAAGTCTTATCTGTAAAACAGATGTACATGCAACAGTTAGGTTCTGGAACAATTCTAAACTCCAGTGGCGGATAAACAACCAGGACACTCCGCCAGAGTTGACAGCCGGTGAACGCCAAGAAGAAAACGCTTCTTATATGTTGATGGTGGCAACTATCACTTTCGTTAAAATGTTGATGTTGACTTTGTAGGTGACCTTTTCTGGCTGTTGCTATAAATGTAGAACTAAGAATAGACAATTGATAGCAATGATAGCCACAGTACCGGTAAATATCAAAGAATCAAATAGTTCGGTCATTTGGTCAGAATAGGAAACAATATCAGGCAACAACTAGAGAGTAGTTACAGTTAGTTGCGTACCCTTTCCAGGACGTTGGAGAACCAACCCTAGCATTTTTTGGCTGTTGAGGTTTTTCTAGCCAAATTTTACGTTCAGTAGTTTACCGTTGCCGGCTCTCGGTACGACTGTCAAATAAAAAAAAAAAATTTAAAAAAATCACACAGGAGAAATCGTCTACAGCAGCGTTCTTATTGCCTTAGCCAGAGACGTCTAACAGACAGTAGTTCACAAGAGAAAGACAGAATTTCAGAGTTCTATACTAAACAGTCGGCTATCGGTAACACTGTCTAATAAAAAAATAAAAATAAAAATCACACAATAGAAATCGTCTACAGCAGGGATTGAACCCGGCACCCCGGCATTACGAAGCGCGTTCGCATTGCCTAAGCCAGAGACGTCGACTAGGCAGTAGTTCACATGAGAAAGGCAGAATTCCAGTTGAGAGCCCTACCGAGGAAGATATGGGTTTAGGGAATAAGAGAAACATTACAGAAACGCCAAAACACGCTTACTAATGTAACGCAATTCAGAAAAGACAGGACACTACTTGGAACTCATCTCTGTACGCTTGTCCACACAATCAGTAAGGCAAAAGACAAAACAGAAGCTATGACTGTAATAATTTGATATACATTATTGTTAGAATAGAGTAGTACCTGTCTCGTTGTTTGAGTTGTACATTTACTTGTAAACAAAAACTATTATTATCGTTATCAGTTATGCTGAAATCAAATGTTTAGTTTTGTGCTGTGCAAGATTAATTCATTTACATAGGCAGTCAGTGATCACTTGTGCTCAAACGTATGACTCACCTCAAATCCATGTTCTACATACCGATGCATGTTCATCATCATCATCATTATCATCATCATCAAGTGCCTTGCCGACTGGCGTAGCTGATCATGCCTCTCCGCAATCTGCGATCTGCAGCTGCGTGTATCAGTTCGTGTGCTGACACCCCTCCATGCCATGACAAAAGACTGTCATGAAACTTTTCACACTGTCTTCCTCTGTCTCTCTTTCCAAAGATCTTTCCAGTGGTCACAACCTGTTCCATTTTTCCTCATCTCATAACATGACCAAAATAGGATAACCTTCTCCATATGATGTTTCCGATAAGTCGTCTTCGAGCATTCGCCTCTTTTAAAACATCTGGGTTGCTCTTCTTAGCTGTCCAAGGAATTCTGAGGATTCTTTTGTAAAACCACATCTCCCAGCCTCAAGATTTCGTTGGACCTGTTTATTAATTGCCCAGGATTCACAGCCGTACGTTAAATGTGGCTCTATATAGCTTGCGATAATGTTTTTCCTAAACTCCAATGACATGAATTTATTGCACAAAATATTCTTCATTTTTTAAAATAGTTTTGGTCTGTCCAATTCTGTTTTTTTATCTCTGTGATACGTCTTCCATCAGATTTTAAGTATATGCCTAAATACCTAAATATATGTACTTGTCCTGAAATAACGAGTTTGACTTTTATGAAACATTTAGGCACTATTCTTTTCTTGGAAATCACCATTACTTTTGTCTTTCCATGATTCAAACTGAGGCCCATTTTATAACTTTCTGCCACCACGTATCTATCAATTCCGGTTTCATCAGCATAACGTAGGTTGTTTATGCTGTGTCGACAAAACGAAATTCCTAGCATATCAATTAAAGATCTCATTATATATTCATAGTATAATGAAAACAAATCAAGTGATAGTACGCATCCTTGTCTTACTCCCCTCTTTATGCTCTAAAATGTCCCCAACTGTTTATTAATTCTTACAGCTGCTGTTTGCTGCCAATACATGTTCTCTATATTTCCTAAAGCTTTTCCATCGGTGTTTGTCTGTTTTTCTTATTCTACATGCCGACGCATATTCTTCATACAAATCCCTGTTCTTCACACAAAGCCATATTTTCCTTAGCAATGTATGTTCTTAATACAAATGCATGTTGTTCAAATAAATGTGTGTTCTTCATATAATTCGAAAACTCTTTAGGACAAAGGCCGTGCGAACATCCCAATGCCATCAGCTTACCTCAAGACAAGAAATGTCTGGTACCTGTCAGATCTGCCTACACCTGGGTAAACGCCGCATCTACCTGCGAGAGAGCCGGGGGTTCCTTGTTTCAAGTGAGTGTGTGTGTGGGCGACTAAGACTAGTCATTAGGAACCGACGTTATTTAATATATTTATTGAAATCTTCTTTTGCCTTTCTACAGCCTAATGGAGCAGAGGCCTTCAACCAACTCACCCAAGTCGTTCTATCCTTCGCATGCAGCTCTCCTCATGTCTTCCCTATCCTTTCACTTTACTCTCTAGGTCCCTTCTCCATGTGTCGTTTTGCCCTCTTTCATTTCTTAGCGACTGTGGGTTCCCGTGCAAAGACATTTTAGTCATTAAATACCCACGTTATTAATTTTTTTTTAATTGATGTCTACTTATCTAATAATTTATCTAACTATTGATTCTTGATCCACCCACCCACCTATTTATCCAGCTATTGATTTATGATCCACTCACCCACCTATTTATCCAGCTATTGATCAATGATCCACTCAACCACCTATTTATCCAGCTATTGTTCCATGATCCACCCACCCACCTATTTATCCAGCTATTGATCCATGATCCACTAAACCACCTATTTATCCAGCTATTGATCCATGATCCACCCACCCACCTATTTATCCAGCTATTGATCCATGATCCACCCTCCCACCTATTTTTCCAGCTATTGATCTATGATCCACCCACCCACCTATTTATCCAGCTATTGATCCATGATCCGTTCAGCGTTATATTCACAGACACCAGATGCCCTGCTAGGATCTCGACCCGACCTCATGCGCTGTTTGGCTGCAATGGCAGACTCCACCTATGCAGCTATGTGGATTAACGCCCTTGGTGTGTGGTCTCCGCATTTTAAGTGGACAAACGGTAAAGTCAAAGTTTGATTTTTGTCATTATTTAGTGTTTGGTTGAACCTGGTTTCCTCTTCATCTTATCGTTGGCTTCTCTTTGTGTCAAGAGAAACAAGAGAATTATGATTATCAGTTTCCGGAAGCCTCAGTGATTGACACTTGATGTTTTCTGATGCTAATTTCACACCTTATTCGGGGTCAACAAAGGGCTTTTCTATAAGTGCAGTTCAACACATGAGACACGGCTAGCGAATTCTAATCCAGCCAACGAATGTTTGCTGCATGCACGCTGACATAATGCAGTCTCGTTGTAAAGTTAATTTTTAGTAATCAAAAAGTGGATAGTGAAGATAACGAGCCCACAGGAGGAGAGAAACAAATATGGAAGAATGGCAACAGGTGATGTTACAACAGCTGCATTATTGGGAAGAGTTAAAGTCTTCGAGTACAATGTGGTTTGTCACCAAGCTCACATGAACACATTGTGCGCACTGACTTGAGGCAAATGTCACAGTCTGGAGAGAAACGTGTAATTAACTTTGTAGAACTGTTTGACTGATTCTCCAACAAAACACAGGCTAGTTACTGAAGAAGAGACGACCAGTTTTGAATAAACTTTGAAAATTTGGAAGAGAGCTGCAAAAACCTCAGCGTGAAACAAAGGAAAAACAATCACCAGTCTCCATTTTTACTTCCGGTCTGCTATATCCAAACAGGAAGATACTCATCTCAGCTTTCAGTGAGAGTTTGCATATTTTGTGGTTTCGTGTTTAGTGTTTTTTTTTAAACCAGCCGGATTTTTTTTCAAGAAATAACCTTGACTCCTAGGTCGACCCAGCCTTTAGTGGGGAACGGGGTTCAGTCTTGGGAAGTAAAGGCGGCCTGCGCCATGCTGACTACATCACCCATCTCGTGCCGATTTGACCATAAAAATATAGGTCTAACTCTATATGCCCTATGCGCCTAAAGGTGTTGAAATAATAATTAAAAAATAAAAAAATAAAAAATAAAAAAAGGTGTTGAAAGGGGACCTTTACTTTTCTACTTATTTTATAAAACATCTTCAAACTGTGAACAGCATCCAGAACGAATGAAGCGATTTTATGTAAAACTCATGGATTTCTTGGTGGTTGAGGGCCGGGGGAGGGAGGGAAGGGAGCAATTCTCCCGGTTTGAGCAGCTGAATTGTTTCATGTCACTAAATGACTTCAACACTTTGTGAGTGTTATTTTCTGTAGCAGCGGTTTTGTTTTCTTTACACTTGTATCGACGATGTATTAAACCGTTGAGTGGTTCTTCATGTATAATATCCTTAGTTACTCCCACTGTCTTATCCATGTGTTACATTCATCGCATTCAAACCCAATTGTTAAATTGGCCTATTGATTTCAACATATTATTTAGTTGAACTCCTTTACCAACAATCCGTCGTTTAGCTGAATTAAAAATCGAATTCACAGCAGTCGGCACATTCCCATAAGCGTCCTGTCCCCACCTTCAACAGGCAGTCATAGGTGCAAATCCGATGGTACCAGCCACAGTCTGATTGTAATTCTTCTTGATCCCCTCGTCCTTCCGCTGAATTGTCTGCAGCCCGTGATAATCTCTCTGTTCCCGGCACTGCTCACCCTAACATGGCAAAATATCAAGCCACACGAAAAGTAGAACTGTCAGCTTCACATGATCACAACCACACACGATTAGTGAACGTTTTGGCTAGAGTTTCTTCATCAGCATGTTACCTGAATATAGAATACCAAAAGTATGAACAAAAGAAAATTGAAAATCACTTAACTGACGTATTTCCGAGAGAAATCATATATCCGTCTGGCTAGTTGAATCACTGACACAAGTATGGCCACCGGAAAAAATAACAGCCAGAACAGGTGTAAACGTTAGCGGCCATAATTTAAAAAAAACAAAACAACAACAACTTAATACAAGTGTGTTAGATGTTAAGTCCCCTAAGCTAATTGGAGCCAGCTGCTCGGTCGTATTATGTAAACAAGAACATCCTGTTACTGTAAAAATTAATCGCCCACCGTTGTCTTTGCCAGGGAGTGCGACCAACCGGGTGGATTTTTGCACCACTTTGCGTCCACCGAGGGAGGACAACCATAACGTGACCAGTGACACCCTGAGTGTGGATTATTGCGTGAAAACTTGCCACGACAAGGGCGCCATATACACTATCTATTTCGTGAGTATAATTTTTCATTCTGATGTTGGATGGTACGGGAAGTAAATGGTACCTAATCCCCTATTTTCTGTCTCTCCAGTAATTTACTTTCTTGTCTGACCAACTATATTCCTAATGGTCAGGATACCTGTCTGGCTGTCAGTATGTCTCTCTGTCTGTTTGTGTGCCCATATGCCTGTCTGTCTTCTGTCGGTCTGTCTGTTTTTTTTTTGTCTTTCTATCTGTCTTGTCTGTCAGTCCACCCACCAAAATGTTTATCTGTCTGAGTGTCTGTCTATCTATTTATCTGTCTGTCTCTCTTTTTGTTCGGTTGCCCATCTGTCTGTCTTTCGCCGTCAATCTGTTTGTTTTGTCTCTCTGTCCGTCTACTAAATTGTCTGTTTGTTTGTGTGTCTGTTTGCTCGTCTTCGAGTCTCTATATTGTCTGTCTACTCATCTGTCTATCTGTCTGTCAGTCTGACCGCCGTCAATCAGCCTGACTGCTTTTCTCTCGTATACATTATATACCTGCCTGTGTATATGTATGTCTGATCATATCTCTTGTTATTAATCTACGTGTTATTTTATTTATCTGGACTCAGTCTATCTCTCAGTGCATCGTTCTATTTACGTTTGTATGTGCCTATCATGTTTATGTCTGTCTAATCAGTCAGATAACTGCGTACCCGCCGTACCTACCAACATGCTTGCCTGCAACTCTACCTACCTAACCAATTACAAAACAACTAGCTTTCAAACTATAAGTATCTAGACATCTACAACCTGTTTTTCTTTTCTAGAACAACTCCCGGACCCTGGAGTGCTACTGCCACCACGCCTTAGACGCTAGCTACATGGCCACCTGCCCGGTGACCACGGTGGATACCAACACACAGGGAGTCTACTACATTCTGCTCTCCAAGCCAGGTCAGAAGTACATCCATCACTCCATCCATCCATCCATCCATCCATCCATCCATCCATCCATCCATCCATCCATCCATCCATCCATCCATCCATCCATCCATCCATCCATCCATCCATCCATCCATCCATCCATCAATTCATCTGTTAATTCATTTATCATCCACATATCTAGCAATCAATCCCTCTGACCCTCTGATAATCCGACCTCCTTCAATCTATTCGCTTGTCCAACCATTCATCAATCCGTCAACACAGTCATTCATTCATTCGTTCATTCTTTTTTCATTCCATCAGTCCATTTAGTGATTCATCTATTGATTTATCCATCAATTAATTCATTGTTTCATTTCTTCGGCAATCCATATATCCATTCGTCCATGTATCCACTGATCTAACCCATCAACAGTCAGTCCACCCATCTGCCTATCCATTCAATCATCCATCCATCTATCGATCCAACCTTTTATCAGTCTGTCTATCCAACCACTTATCCAGCTGTCTATCCAACCATTTATTCATCTGTCTATCCTGCCTTGTATCCTCTGTCTCTCCAACCATACATCCATTCATCTAATAAACTGTTTATCTATCTATGTATCTAACTGATTATCAATCTTTCCATGCAACCTTGTGTCTATCTTTCTTTCCAACCCTGTATCTATCCAATTTTGCATCCAGCTACCTATCCAATCTTGCAATCATCTGTCTATCCAATCTTGCAATCATCTGTCTATCCAACTATTCATGCATCTGACTCCAACCATAACTATATCCATTCATTCATCAATCGATTTAACTGTCCAGCATCCATATATTATAATCATTCAACCAGACATTCTTTCTTCCATTCACTGGTCTCTTACAGATTCACTGATACAGATCACGGGCACAAATGTCACCTCCAGAACGGAGATCCTGTGTTCCACAGTTGATGACAGCACCTTCAGAGTTCGTCGACAGATCACTAGCGAAAAATGCTTCAACCGACAACATTTCATCTGCGACTTGGGTATGTTTACACTAAAGTCGTGCTCTTTTTTCTTTGTCTCTGTTACCTTCTTACTACAAGTTGTCTAACGATCATACAAATCCACGAGGGAGGACTGGCTGAGCAGGTTACATGCCGGGATATTATTCGGGAGTTCAGCGTTCAAATCAATGGTAAAACCATGAAGATTTGTTTTTCTATCTAACGATCCAAACCTTGGAAGTTCCTGGCGACTGTTTTAGCCGTGTTGATTCGTGTTGATTGTAGCCCTTTATGCCTTATGCGTCTAAAGGCGCGGGAAAGTGACCTGTATTTACGTGCTTACACAAACACAAACAATTTATAAATATACAAACACAAACAATTTATAAATATACAAAGCAAAAAATAATCATTGGGGGAGGTAGGAGCATCAGCTCCCATTCCAAATTTGATGAGGGAATTTAGGAGACCAACTTCAAACATGCATAGATACATTCTTAAAATGTACTTGTTTGTATATTTTGTATTATTTCAAGTATATTAATGCAACTATTTGCCATTCAGCATGTTAATAATAATAATAATAATAAGATGATGATGATGAGGAAAGAAGAAGAAGAAGAAGAAGAAGAAGAAAAAGACGAAGGAGAAGAAGAGGAAGAACAAGAACAAGAAGAAAAACAAGAACAAGAGTAACATCAATAAAAAGAATGTGCTGTATGTCAACTACATGTTATAATTTACTTCAAATGATTTGAAATGTGAAAAAAAAAAAAATACTTTAAAAGATAATTTAAAAACACATCATCAAGTGTCTTGCCAGCTGGCGTAGGCGTTCGTGCATCTCCACAGATCTTAGTCTTTAGGGTTCCTGATCAATTCCACTGGTGATATTCCTCCATGCCACTTTCATTAGCCACCTACCGTCATTTCTCTTGGTCTGCCTCTGCCTCTTTTACCAGTGATCTTTCCAGTCGTCTCGAAATTGTCCAGTGCTCGTTTTTTTTATTAATTTATTTAATTTAAAATTACCTACATATGCTGGCGTTGACGCATTTAGTCGTGAAGAGAAGATGCAAGTAATTGTGTCTTTTTTAAAATCCGTTGATAAGGAGACGAAGCAAAGTGCGTAAACAAAAACTGCCAAACAACGGAGTGCTATTTCGTGTTGAAGCGGCGCTGCCTACTTCGGGTGGGCATCAACTACCACTGGTACGCCGCTAGAGCCTACTGTCAGAACCGTGACGGGGACCTGTGGAACATGTTCCAGCTCAGTGACCTGGCCGATGTCCCCATGCTCAGTGACCGAGTGACCAAATACTGGATCGGCGCCACCAACTATAACTGGAGGTTCAACGCCAGTAAGTAGAGACTGTATCCGGCAGTCGTTGATTCTTCGGTTGGTTGTTTATTTTTTTTTTTTGATTTTTTTTTTGGTGTATTGATTGCTTGGTTATTTCAGGGTAAACAAATTGACATACATGGATTGGCACTCATATTAAAAGTTAAGAGGGCATACTTCTTACTCCTATTCTTCAAGCATTCACCTCCCAGTTAAGCATAGGCTCTTAACAACTCACGCTGTCTTTCTATGCTTTACTATAGGTAAGCTCTACCGGTGACTTCCCTATCCATTTTACCTCACTCTCCAACTTTCTTCACCACCATTTTAGGGGCGGTGGGGAAGGGGGTTCCTTTTTTTAAATGTCCCTGTGGGTTCCAGTACAAAGGCAGACATGTTTCTTAAAGGGTGTCCTATCTAACGCCAGCGTCGTTTCTTCACCTCTTGATTAACTGGAGTCTCAGATCTCATCAAAAGCTCTACACTGTCCACTTGATCGCACCATTGAATCCCCTCCGTTCTGCACAGGCATCGGTTAATGAATGTTTCCAGTTTACTAGCAACTACCTTACCCGTTCTCCATGTTTCCGCTCCAGTACTTCTTCTTTCTTTCGTTCACTTGAAATAAATTATCTACGTCTTCAATGTTGTCCCTAGTATGAAACAACAGTACTTAATTGACAACGAAAATACCAAGTGTGAGTTTAATAGTAACTTTAATTTCTATTAACTTACAAAAATTTGACAAATTTATTAAAACTTGTCTTGACCTTTTGTATTCTTATTTTAACTTTTCTGTCAGCTTCCCCCATCTTTATCTATATTACAGCCTGGATAGGTGTATGAGTCCACATGTTGGCATGGCATATTATCAAGGGAGATTAGATTTCTGTTTTCCTTCTTTATTCTCATTAAGAAGATATGCTACATAAAATCGAGAAGTACAAAATACAGCACGAATTTTGACACAAAATTCCAGTAGAGGGAAGGGAAAACAAACGCACAATCGTATGTTTCCACCAAATTCTTAGTCATAGACTTATTCTTTGTCTTGGTCTTACTCAAGTTGTCAACTTTACTACAATCAGGTTACCACATACTTGCTGCGTTCCTGTACCAGTGAAAATCAGATAAAATGCAACAAGACTGTCAAAAACCTTCTCTCGTTGTTTTCCTCTTTCCCTCTTTCCACAAATCTTTCCATTGGTTACAACATGTTCCATTTTCCATTTTCTCATAACATGGCCGAAAAATGACGACTGTCTCCTTCTGATGTCTGTAATAAGTTGTCTTCGGGCTCCCGCCTCTTTCAAAACCTCTTGGCTGCTCCTTTTGTTTAAACAAGGTATTTTAAGCATTCTTCGGTTAAACCACACTTCTGAGGCCTCGAGAAATTGTTTGGCCTGCCTACCGATTGTCCAGGACTTACAGCCATATGTTAAAACTGGATGTTATGTTCTTGGGTTGGTAAATTATTTCGCATGCTGGTAGATGTCCCTCTCTCCCTTCTTCTTTCTCTTTCTCTCCCCCTCTGTCTCATATATATGATACTATCTCTTCTACTTCTCTTGAAAGGAAACATCTCTATTCTTAGTTTGACTGAAGTAGTTACTTTTCCTTGTTCGCATGGGAGCAACTAAATAAACAACAAACATATCATGAAAAAAGAAAGGGGTTGACGGGGGAGGGGGGGGGAGGGAGGGGGTGGGAGGGGTATGTTAAGTTTCAGTCCCCTTGTAATTTTCCAGGGGAGGATATTCAGTTAAATGAATCTTTGCCTTGTTTAAGCTAGCAATAATAGCAACTAATAATTTTTATTATTATGTACCAAATGGCAAACAAATAAAATAATATACTTAAAACAATATGCGGCATCCGTGGCTTAGGCGTTGCGAGTCCGACTCGTAATTCCAAAGTACCACGATGGAAACGAAAAGATTTGTATCATGGTATGGGGCGTCGCAGGTTGACCCGACCTAAAATGGGTTTCAGGATGTACGTTCTGTGGAACTAAAGACGGCCGGCGTAATGCTGACTACATTACCCATCTAGTACCGATTGGTCTGTACAAATATGGGTGCTCTTTCCATATGCCCGATGCGTCTAAAGGTGTGAAACTTATAAATTTTCTGGTGGGGGGTGGTAAAAAAAAGGGGGGGGGGCATGTCTATTAAAAGACTTTGTGTGAGGTCTGGAAGGGGAAACTCCATGTGCCTTGATTCCCAGGTTCTGACATGTCTGCTAGCTGGGTACCTAACCCTGAATGCTTGGATTGTTCAGCTATGTGTAACAAATAAATGTGTGTGTTAGACTTGTTGAAATACCAGGCAGACTGCGGTGACTGGTCACTTTACCATTACAGCCAGCGCCAGCCTGGGCAGTGTGCCCAGCAAGGACTACAACCGGCTCAGATGTGGACACATGGTCCGGCAGGGCAACAGTCTATCGGAGCTGACCTATCAATGGAGCGACACGGTCTGCGACCAGCAGAAGTCGTTTCTGTGCCAATTCGGTAAGGTTTTGATTCCAGTACAGAATGCTCTTTGGTTATCTTAACCATAAAGATTCGAAAATATGGTCTCTAAAATTATGCGAAAAGAATGAATGCAAAAAATATTCGGTGACACAAAGTGCTATCATTCCTATCATAATTACTAGGGTGCAAGTCCTAGAAACCCTGTTCAATCGTTAGGTTATATTACGGCCCCAGATGACAGGTGGAGTGGAGCATTAAAAAAACTGGGGGGAGGGGGGATTTTTGCTTCCCATATTGGTACGTATGAACGGGCATAAAGTAGGAGGAGCCTACTTATTTCAAGAACTATTACAACTGTAAGAGCTAATATAAGAACAGTAAGAACAATTGCAAGGGCTGAAAGAGCCCTGCTGGCCGTCAGCTGCATAGCTCTTCCCTAAACTCATTAGAACAGGGTCATGAAACAAAAGCTTACATCTGTTTAGCTGAAATTGTGAACTGATCGTTTATCTGGTAAATTTGCCTATTGACCATTGTTCAATGTTTTGGTGCACATCCCAACCAGCGAAATGTTAGAAAACATTTATAAAGTGGCAAAGGTTCTAGAAAACACACACTGACCACTGTTCCTAAACATGGCAACTGACCACTGTTTCTACACATGACAATTGACCACTGTTTCTAAACATGACAACTGACCACTGTTTCTAGACATGACAACTGACCACTGTTTCTAGACATGGCGACTGACCACTGTTCCTAAACATGGCAACTGACCACTGTTTCTACACATGACAATTGACCACTGTTTCTAAACATGACAACTGACCACTGTTTCTAGACATGACAACTGACCAGTGTTTCTAGACATGACAACTGACCACTGTTTCTAAACATGACAACTGACCAGTGTTTCTAGACATGGCAACTGACCACTGTTTCTAGACATGGCAACTGACCACTGTTTCTAAACATGACAAATGACCACTGTTTCTAAACATGACAACTGACCACTGTTTCTAGACATGGCAACTGACCACTGTTTCTAGACATGACAACTGACCACTGTTTCTAGACATGACAACTGACAAGTGTTTATAGACATGGCAACTAACCTTTGTTTCTAGACATGACAACTGACCACTGTTTCTAGACATGACAACTGACCAGTGTTTCTAGACATGGCAACTGACCACTGTTTCTAGACATGACAACTGACCACTGTTTCTAGACATGGCAACTGACCAGTTTGCTGGTATACATCACTGCCTACTCTGTTAAGTAGGCGGTATGGTGCACACACACAAAACTGACCACCCCGCTGATAAACACTCAACTAAGTCTGGTGTTAGCAACATGGAAGTTGAAATCTCTGTTGGTAATCACGGGGACTGACACAAAGTTTTATAAACATGTGGACTCAGCACTGTAATGTTTGGCATGCACAGTTACGTTACAGAATGGACACACTAGACAGCAACTGTTGGCACGTTTATGCCTTTCAAGGAGACAGTGTCATTTTGTGCTATGGATATAATAAAGATATACACAATGAAGTGATGGCACTCATGGACGGCTGTAGAAAGATAGAAGGACAAACTAGACAACATACAAATCGAAATTGTGCTCAACCTTTCTGTTATCATCACTGAAAGAAGAGCGTATGACATCACAACATCTAGCATGACAATGGAGTTGGAGACGGTAACTGGAGTTCTCCGGTAGCTAGAGAACAAGATGCATACACATGTCGTAATTGTAACAGACTCTGAAAGCTGCTGAGAAAGGTGAAGTCAGGGATGCTTCAAGCAGAGTGGCAAGCTTCACTGGGAAGGTCACGGGTAGTGAGCATACTTTGGATCTTTTCTCCAGGCCAGGCTGGCGTGGTGGGTAATGAAATGACAGACTGATTAGCTGGTTCTACCCCACTGGGTGGTGAAGACTGATACATGAAAAGGCAGATGTGGTCAAGGTCCTTTGGGAACAAGCAACAGGATCAGTAGAGAAACAAGATTATTATGGTCTGGAGAGAATGAGACACCTGGGTGTAATCAGAGGGTCAGGCCGGTTGACTACACTCAGAGGAAAGGCAAGACGGACATACAACCAGATTGGGACCGGTACCATCAGTATTGGAACTCTAAGCTGGCTGCTGAAGATGAGGACATAGAACACATGGGAATGCCCCGAATGCCGTGATGTCAGTTCTTGACTCAGCTCAACTCATTACTGAGAGAAAAAAGGCCCATTTTAAATATGTATGTGTGGTTGCTTAGGCAGGCCCAGTATACTGCTTACTATCGTAATTAATCCCCTGATTGTTCACAGAAAGTCGCATGCAAGTTTTTCTTTCTCTAGCCAATTCTCTAACCCTATCAGCTTTCATAGTCAATACATCTTCAATGTTTTGTACCCACCTAAGAGGAGGTTTACCGCTGCCTCGTTTTCCTCAAACTGTGCGCTCCATCATCGTTCTCCACAGGTCGCCATGAAATTTAACACGACCAAAATACTTCAGATTTCGGGACAGGATGCGGTTTACGAGCCAATTCTCCTCAATGCTAAAATCATGTTGAATGCCTGCGATGTCCTTCTTTTTGGCGTATGACATTCTAGTAATATTTCTGTATCATTTAAAGCTCCGATTTGTTTCTTCTTTACTGATTAAGAGTCTTCCACTCTGACTGAATAGTTGCTGTGGGAAATGTTCACGATCTCAAACTTGTGACTTTATCTCACTTGCAACTGCGGTGCTATAAGTTCTCTGTTTACTTTATTCTTCACTCAAGGAAGAGGTTTTCAGACTTCTTCTGTGCAGTTACAATTGGTGATCACTAGTGAGCCTAGACATTCAACATCTGTCAATGGTATAGTTGAAATTAATATTACTGATTTTACATATTTAGGGGGCCAAGGTACCATGTTGACTCGAAGTTTACCCTCCCCACCAACTGTCTTTGGTTCGAATCCACATCAAGGGGGATGTTCCTAACTTTACCTCTGCTCCCAGGTGAAAGTGGTCTAAGAATGATACCGGGACTATCCTGGGAGTAAAGTGGTCGAAGTAACAGTGCTCACTCCACCCACAGAATGCCAGTTTGTCAGTAACAGTTTTGTTCGTAACATTGTAACAATGTAATGATGGGTACAGTTTCTGGAAAACGAGACAGGGGCAGACTTCCGCGAAGGTGGATACAAGACCTGGTGATACATTGGCTATGAAAGCACATAAGGCTAGAGAACTGGCTACTGAAAGAGAGACTTTCAGGCGTGCCGTGGCAAGAGCGACGTTCTGTTATAGAGCTACTGATTGATGACAGCGCAGTAAAAAAAAACTTAACAAAAATGTTGTTGTTGCTGACAAGTATCGATGTTATCTGTCCACACAGCTAAAACAGCCTTCAACCCTGATGAGATGAACCTGGAAACTGCTTGTCCATGGGCCACTCCGCCTCCACCAATAACAGCAGGTCCAGGTGTCATCACCGGAGTACCCGTGACCGGCACCAATGTGCCACCCAATCCTAGCAATGAGCCGGTTGTGGGTACTGCAGGAGATGGTTAGTTCAATACAGTGGTCTTGTGTGTTGTTTGATTAGTTAGTTACTCTAGGTTCTAACATTGCCAAAGACAGGTCGATACATGACCTCCCAGTTCCCGAGTCAGCGGAAATCACACAAAATCTCCTTCATTGTCCCTTATGAATACTGGCCAAAAATCTTGTCAGTCCCAGACAAATCTTGTCAGTCCCAGACAAATCTTGTCAGTCCCAGACAAATCTTGTCAGTCCCAGACAAATCTTGTCAGTCCCAGACAAATCTTGTCAGTCCCAGACAAATCTAGAAGTGTGTGCATGCACAGTAAAAAATGCTTGTCTGATGCGATAACACTAACGGTCCATCGCCAGAATTGCTATTCACTTTTGATGCAAGCGGTCATTCAAAGCAGGCATTAAACCTGCAAAAGTACACGAAATTCTGAACAGAACCAACTCCTCGCCATTTGAGTGCAGTCAACAACAGACCACGGCCACTATTTCAAACAAGGGAATGTTGTGAATAGGTTCTCCATACAAGTTCTTGGAAGTAAAGGTGGCCAATGTGACGTTGACTACATCACACAGGGAATGCCGATCGGTCTATAAAATATAGATCTAACCCTATGTGCCCAGTACGCATTGAGCTGAAGGAAAGGGTCCTTTACTTCATTTCCCTAACTTATTGTTCAAAATAAAATTGACCATTAACATTGAAACAGTTCATCCTTTGTCTGGGATCTGGTGCCTCATTGTAGGAAAAAAACAAGACAAGACTCACTGTTTCCCCGACAAGCATGTCGTAAAAGTCAATTAGGGGCTTCCTTGGAAGTCGGAGTGCATCAGCCACAGGGAACAACCACCTGCACACAAACAAGCCAGTAAAATGTACACGGAAAACTCAGGCCCTGGAACAAAGCCAGAGTCCAAATGGACGAACAACAAGGACTTACAGCCGGTGACTACAGAAGAAGAAGAAGAAGAAGAAGAAGAAGAAGAAGAAGAAGAAGAAGAAGAAGAAGAAGAAGAAGAAGAAGAAGAAGAAGAAGAAGAAGAAGAAGAAGAAGAAGAAGAAGAAGAAGAAGAAGAAGAAGAAGAAGAAGAAGAAGAAGAAGAAGAAGAAGAAGAAGAATGTTCATATTTCATACAATATTATTTTTAACCAGAACTACCAGTAAATATAGGTTATGTGACAATAAACAAACTATATGTTATGTGACAATAAACAAACTATATGTTATGTGACAATAAACAAACCATATGTTATGTGACAATAAACAAACTACATGTTATGAAACAATAAACACGCAACTTGATGTTTCATCTCAGTTGATAGTTTCCCCATTGGAGCAGTGATCGCTGCCATCATAGCGGGACTGGTTCTTCTAACGTGCTTGGGGTTAACCTTGGCTTACTGCAGCAGACGGTAAGTCATCCAGGCACACTCGTGCCCTATGTGCCACACTGTGGAAGCCTCAAAACCCTGCATCATCATCCGCACTATCATGATCTTCATCATTATCCCTGTATGATCTCTAGGCATGGCGTCTGCCTAGGGTAGTGGGAACGGACGCCTGTGTGTATTGTTACATACGTAACATATCCTTTAGCAGTTGGAAATCGAAAAAAAAATAGTAGCCTAACGGCTCTGCCCGGGCAAATATTTGGGGTGAAAGATCTACCCAAAATATTTCATCATCCTCGCCGGTGCTACAGAGCCTGTGCACTGTGCTGAGCTTCTTCTGACTCCTTCATTATCATCTTCATCATCCTGTGGCATGCTGATAAGACTAAATGGCCAGGTACACAGTTTCTAAGGTATCGATAATATCTTGAGCTAAAAATCAGTATAAAAATCCGCTCCTCCTCCCTTTACCGCCAACCGCCCGCGCCACACGCACACACACACACAACAATTCTTCAAATAATTATTATTATAATTATTATTATAAATAAATCTTAAGGAATTAATACATTTTAAAAACAAAAGAAGATAAAAATATGTAAAACTATGAAATCTAATACTGTCTTCAGATTAAACTATCAGTGATAGGTTCTGTTCCAGAGGATATACTTAGATTTATTTAAAATCTAACAACTGACGTCATTTTGCAGTACCAATCGAACGGCTGGCGCACATAGAAAAAACAAAACTGTTTTGTCCCGAATGGTTAGCATAATCCTTTCAACCTATCACCATTCTCAACTCTGTCTCTGCCATGCAACTTACCATACGTCAGATATCGTAGCCTATTTGTAAACCACAACATATACAACTGATACAAATGTGGAGATTGTGTGGAGATAAATTCACATGTACAGCGATGTGTGGTGATTATTGTGATAGTCTATTCAGCATGCAATGAAACATCTCTAAACCACAGGTGCTGGAGAGAGGCTCCTGAAGGTGAAATTCATGTGAAACGCTTGCAATTTGATGTTTTAAAAGGTATCCATAAATTGAAAGCGTGCTGATTATTTATTAAAATCGATGCCACATTTCAACAACTTACATAGGAACGGTTACTTAGTTACAAATACTTTTAAAGCTAGGCAAGATTTGGGAAACTCACTCTAGCTGGCATCTATTACGTGAGCTGGCTAGTGTTGCGCTGATGAATCCAACTTCTTTATTTCACCTACAGTAATTATGTTTTAAACTGTATGTTTTCTAATGATTCGTGTTCTGGACACCGATCAGGTTAATGTTCAACTGATGTATATTTGTTATGTATTATAAAGTTATAGGATACCACCACAGTGTTTATGGTACTGCTAAATTTATAAATTTTACTTTATATCATATTTTTTGCTGTTTTGATTGTTTTTCCCTTGTTGTAATTACCCCCCCCCCCCACTCGCGCAACACACAAACACACACACACACACACACACACACACACACACACACACACACACACAAACCAGACATACAGAGATCATGTGACTGCCAAATTGTTGAATTCTATCGTGTATTTCACTTAACAGCAACTGGATGGCCGGACGGTTTAGGAAAGTCCGAGAACCGCTGACGTTCATTCCCTACTTCGCTGATGTATCGGGAGCAGACTATGAGAGTAAGTGGACATCCCAGCATCACACAACCGCTTAGTCAAGAACCGACTCTATTGCAGTGAAGGCATACGACTCGTGTGTAGACTCAAGACGGAAATGTCCATCCTTACACACAACTATACCAACCCGTTATAGCATACATATGTCTTTATTATAATTTACAGCAAGCAATTCACCTGGGAGAAAGAGGTTCGCGTTATCAAACCCGTCGTGCACCTGCCCCTGCTGGCCTCAGGTTTACAATAAGGGTCATAACCAACAGTTTTCTCTCCCCCCCCCCCCGCCTACTCACAAGTTCTTTCCAAAGCTTCTGTACCTCACACCAAGTCTACTGTGCTACTGCACAGCTGGTGTGAGTGGACAGACCTCGTCACATAACCAGTCAACATCATTGGCACGGCTGGTGTGAGTGGACAGAACACGTCACATAACCAGTCAACATTATTGGCACGGCTGGTGTGAGTGGACAGACCACGTCACATAACCAGACAACATCATTGGCACGGCTGGTGTGAGTGGACAGACCTCGTCACATAACCAGACAACATCATTGGCACGGCTGGTGTGAGTGGACAGACCTCGTCACATAACCAGACAACATCATTGGCACGGCTGGTGTGGGTGGACAGACCTCGTCACATAACCAGACAACATCATTGGCACGGCTGGTGTGGGTGGACAGACCTCGTCACATAACCAGACAACATCATTGGCACGGCTGGAGTGAGTGGACAGACCTCGTCACATAACCAGACAACATCAATGGCACGGCTGGTGTGGGTGGACAGACCTCGTCACATAACCAGTCAACATCATTGGCGAACCACTTCAATGTTTGACACACACACTACTAACAACTTTCTTGTTTGCAGTCTCTATCCAGTTGTATGCAGACTGAAAAATGTGTAAACCACTCCACTGATACTCTAGCCATTCTTCAGTTTAACGAAACTGTACTGTGTATGTATAACCAATGCGTTGGTACAGGGACAAGTCAGCATTTGAACAGGCAGACAAATTGGGTAGATCTGCACCGGTAGATGGTGAATTGCTACATGACAATGCACATGTGATCCAGGCCCTCCAGGAACAAGCAACGGAATCAGTAGAGAAAGAAGATTATTATGGCCTGGAAATAATGAGGCACATAGGTGTAACCAGAGGGTCTGGCCGGCTCACTCAGAGGAAAGGCAAGACGGACATATAACCAGATTGTGACCGGTAACATCAGTATTGAAACTGCACTGGCTGCTGACGATGAGGATAGAGCATGCATGGGAATGCCCCGAGTACCGTGTTGTCAATTCTTGACTTTACTCAACTGAACTCAAGTCAGTATCTACACCTTAGGGCAGTGTTTCCCAAACATCTTTTGGTCGCGGCACATTTTTTCAATAACATACTTAGGTTAGGGCGTCATGGAAAAATACTATTGAAAAAATTTGCCGATTTTATTTTTATCAAAATATATTACAAGAGAATTGCATTTGTGGAAAAGAACAGATAAAGTTTTTGAAGCCCCTGAAGATTGTAACTCCCTGAGCTGTAGCTTATTTTATGCCGATATTCTGAATTTCCTGAGAGACAGAACATCTATAGATATATCCCGTACTTTCTGATGCCCTTTCTGAAATCAGGAATCGATAAGAGCTTGCTTCTGTACTTGTCGCTTACCTACTGCTCATGTATCCATCTTGGTTGCTAAATAACTGTTTTCCTGTCTGTGATTTCTTCCAGGTCATGCAAACATGAGTTCTGTCTCTGATCACGGATCTCAGGTATTGACATTGTTCAAGAATATGTGTGGATGTCTGTATGTTTGTGTTGTGTGTGTGTGTGTGTGTGTGTTGTGTATGTGAGTGTGTTTGTGTGCATGAGAGTGAGAGCGTGTGTGTGGTTGCCAGTGTGAATGTAGGTTGAGGTTGTTAGGTAGGCACTTTGTCAGTTTATATATATATATATATATATATATATATATATATATATATATATATATATATATATTTTGTGTGTGTGTGTGTAAGTGTGTGTGTGTGTGTGTAAGTTTGTGTAGCGGGTAGCCTGGTAGGGGTATCTCATCCCATCTGCTAGCCCAGGGCACATCCTTGGGAAAAGTGGGAAACCTGTTTAGTTCCCAATCACAGTAGCATGACATCACAGGAAGAGGTTGGGGAACGATGGGAGCAGGTAGTCCTATCATGAGCGCAGGTTGTGGATCAGTGGCAGCAGGTGGTAAAACCATGACAGCAGGTGGGAAAACCATGGCAGCAGGTTGTAAAACCATGGCAGCAGGTGGTAAAACCATGGCAGCAGGTGGTAAAACCATGGCAGCGGGTGGTAAAACCATGGCAGCAGGTGGTAAAACCATGGGAGCAGGTAGTAAAACCATGGGAGCAGGTAGTAAAACCATGGGTGCAGGTGGTAAAACCATGGGAGCATGTGGTGAAACCATGGCAGTAGGTGGTAAAACCATGGGAGCAGGTGGTATAACCATGGCAGCAGGTGGTAAAACCATGACAGCAGGTGGTGAAACCATGGGAGCAGGTGGTATAACCATGGCAGCAGGCGGTGAAACCATGGGAGCAGGTGGTAAAACCATTGGAGCAGGTGGTGAAATCATGGCAGTAGGTGATGAAACCATGGGAGCAGGTGGTAAAACCATGGGAGCAGGTGGTAAAACCATGGGAGCAGGTGGTAAAACCATGGGAGCAGGTGGTAAAACCATTGCAGCAGGTGGTAAAACCATGGCAGCAGGTGGTAAAACCATGGGAGCAGGTGGTAAAATCATGGGAGCAGGTCGTAAAACCATGGGAGCAGGTGGTAAAAACATGGCAGCAGGTGGTAAAACCATGGGAGCAGGTGGTATAACCATGGCAGCAGGTGGTAAAACCATGGCAGCAGGTGGTGAAACCATGGGAGCAGGTGGTGAAACCATGGCAGCAGGTGGTGAAACTATGGGAGCAGGTGGTGAAATCATGGCAGCAGGTGATGAAACCATGGGAGCAGCTGGTGAAACTATGGGAGCAGGTGATGAAACCATGGGAGCAGGTGGTGAAACCATGGGAGCAGGTGACGAAACCATGGGAGCAGGTGGTAAAACCATGGCAGCACGTGGTAAAATCATGGCAGCAGGTGATGAAATCATTGCAGCATATGGTGAAATCATGGGAGCACGTGGTTGAAAAAATAGGAGCAGATGTTTACCGAGAGCGTAGCTCCAAGCACGAACTCCACAGCTTTAGCGACATCCACAACCAGTGTTTTATTTGTAAAAAAAAAAACAGGAGCCACACGGTCGGAAAACAAATCCATGCTCTACGTATCGCAAGCCAACCGATTTGGTACATTTCCTCCGTGACCACCTTGCATGTCTCAGTTGCCAGTAACGATAAAGGCTTGATTACTGTGTATATAGATCATCAATAAGTTGATAATATTTGCTTACTGTACATTGGCCAGGTGGGACTTGTCAAGAGCGGCTACCACCACAACACTTCCGGTTACGGAATGTCAACATCGTATGGGGAGCAGAGTGGAGCTTTCTCTAGCAAATCCCTGGACAGGAGACACAAGGAGACCTTGGACAGGAAGCTTGCAGAAAGCCAGAACTACCTGGCCAGTGGCAATTCTTCCATGGGTCAGTTACAGCTCTGCTTGTTCTTCTAGTCCATTCCGTGTGTCGTTGGTGGTCACCTTTATCTCCAGCCTCCTTGTAGTTCACGCCGTTGGTAGTTGGTAGACATGTCGATTCAGAAGCTTTATATTACCCATTCTGTGTATCGTTGATAGACATGTCCATTCACACATTTCTTATAATCATTTCTGTTTGTCGTAGGTATTTCAATGTCTTTCTTACCACTACATGTTTGAAGAACAATTTCTGTATCTTTCCTATAGTTGTCTATAGTTTTCTAATTTCATTAGCCATTTCTCAGGCATTCGTTGTTAGTTACTCTGACTGTCACTGTATCGGTGCAATCTTCTTAGAAATCACATCTTCACCGCCTTAAATGTGCACCAAAAATGTCCATTATGTTCTACTCGACATTCTTAATATATTGTCTTGCAATTTTGTTGAGGTAAATCTAGTCATGTAGTTTTATAGTGAACAATAAAAACTTGTATGTAAGGTGTTAATGAAGCAAATGATTAGCAAAGAGTTAATGAAGCATAAAGGCATATTGCCATTCAAGAGATGTTGACAGGATGCGAGTGGCACACAACAGTACAGAAGGTCAGCAGATAGCTCTGGAATTCAAAATCATGAAAGACCACCCCCCCCCCCCCCCCCCCCCCCCCAAAAAAAAAAAAAAAAATTCTATATAAGGACAGATAGTTAATAGTTGACTACATTGGGAAAAGTATTAAAAGGCTGTAACAGTCTATTATCCGAATGTTAGGACTAAAATTAAACGAGGAACGAAGAAGTAATATATAAAAAAAAAAAAAAGCGGATCATGAAAAAGAAGTAAAGAAGAAAAAGAAGAAGAAGAAGAAGAAGAAGAAGAAGAAGAAGAAGAAGAAGAAGAAGAAGAAGAAGAAGAAGAAAAGAGGAGGAGCGGAAGACGACGACGACAGCAACAACATACTAACCACAATCTTTGTCTTTAGATGAGAGAGGTTTCTCTGCAACATACAACACCCTGCCCAACAGACCCCGTGATTTGATGACACTCCAGGCTCATATGGATATCAAGGTTAGATTTGTCATTCATGTTTTGTCGCCATCATTGTTTTTGTTTTCCCTGTCATGTGTCCACAACAGTGGTAACAGAGCTAGAGGTCGACCACGGAGAATATGGACCGCGGAAATATCCGAGACACTGAAAAGTACTTTATACAAAGCTAACAGAAGGGCCCGCTACATACATTTGTTCCTGTCCTGACGCCGTGAGGCATTCCAGGAGTAGAGAAAAGAGAAGAAAAAGGTAATGCGTGGTGCTGAGATTTTCAGCTTCTTCTAAATATGATTAATTGGCATTTGAATCTAATCTCTCTTGGCGATGATGTAGATTACGGTTGTGAGGATGCGTTCATTAATTTGATTAATTGCCTGTTTGGTACAGCCCATTTCTCCAGCCCTCATGCCAACTCAACATATTTGTGTTGTCTTCTCCAACTCACATGCCGAATCGACAAATCTTTGTTGTTTTTTTCTCCAACCCCCATGCCAACCCGACATATCTGTATTGTCTTCTCCAACCCCCCATGCCAACCCGACATATCTGTTGTCATCTTCAACCCGCATGCCAACCCGACATATCTGTTGTCTTCTCCAACCCCCCTGCCAACCCGACATATCTGTGTTGTATTCTCCAACCCTATACCAACCCGACATATCTCTGCTGTCTTCTCCAACCCCTCATGTCAACCCGACATATCTGTGTTGTCATCTCCAACCCTCATACCAACCCGATATATCTTTGTTGTATTCTCCAACCCTCATGCCAACCCGACATATCTCTGTTGTCATCTCCAACCCCTCATGGCAATCCGACATATCTGTGTTGTATTCTCCAACCCTCATGCCAACCCGATATATCTGTGTTGTCTTCTCCAACCCTCATGCCAACCCGACATATCTGTTGTCTTCTCCAACCCCCATGCCAACCCGATATATATGTTGTCTTCTCCAACCCCCCATACCAACCCGACATATCTGTTGTCTTCTCCAACCCGCATGCCAACCCGACATATCTGTGTTGTCTTCTCCAACCCTCATGCCAACCCGACATATCTGTTGTCTTCTCCAACCCCCATACCAACCCGACATATCTGTGTTGTATTCTCCAGGACGAGGCTGAACTTGCAGCTCTCAGAGCTTCCTTCCGCAACCGACCAGAAGTGGCTCTAGTGACGGACAACGTAGACATGAACTTTACTGTGAACCACGCCGTGTCCAGGACTCACAGCCACGCGGACAGTGAGCTGTCCCGGTCATCTCTAGAGAGAACCATGGAGGAGATTAACCTGCCAGTGTCCGAGGGAGGTCTGGGCTTACACTTGCCCGAGAGAGTTGCAGAAGAGGCCAGGATATTTTCAACATTGTCCAATAACTATCACAAGTAAAATCTACTGATGCTGTAATCCTCACCCCCCACCCCCCCCCCACCCCATGTGCATACGGTAATTTTGTCATAGTATGGTTTTCAATTTGTACATGTTTTTTTTTTTTAAATTAAAGTATATTAAAATATTTTTGAAAATATAAATAATTAGCCTTATGCTACAATTTTTTTTATTCTGATTTTATTTATCATAAAAATTTAGGCCCTAAAAATGCAAGACCCGACTAGTGAAATAAACGTCCCCGGTGTTATATTAGCGACCTTTGACACCAAGTGTTAGATTTTCTATAAAATGTCGGTTTGCAAGATATACCCGTCTTCTTGTGTTTGAAGTAATTGATGAGAACCTGGAAAAGTGCAAGAGAGATGCAAGTGAAATTTATTGCGTGGACATTAATAAAACAATGAGAAAAAAACTTGAAAAAGAGGAAAAAAACGGATTAAAAGGAAACGACGACGACGAAAAAAAGCAAGAAGAAGAAGAAGAAGAAGAAGAAGAAGAAGAAGAAGAAGAAGAAGAAGAAGAAGAAGAAGAAGAAGAACAAGAAGAAGAACAAGAAGAAGAACAAAAAGAAGAAAAAGAACAAGAAGAACAAAAAGAAGAAAAAGAACAAGAAGAACAACAAAAAGAAGAAAAAGAACAAGAAGAACAAGAAGAAGAAAAAGAAGAAGAACAAGAAGAAGAAGAAGAAGAAGAAGAAGAAGAAGAAGAAGAAGAAGAAGAAGAAGAAGAAGAAGAAGAAGAAGAAGAAGAAGAAGAAGAAGAAGAAGAAGAAGAAGAAGAAAAAGAAGAAGAAGAAAAAAAAACGAAGAAGAAGAAGAAAAAGAAAGGAGAAGAAGAAAAAGAAGAAGAAGATGATAATGATGATGACGGTGAAAGGGAAGAAGAAGAAGAAGAAGAAGAAGAAGAAGAAGAAGAAGAAGAAGAAGAAGAAGAAGAAGAAGAAGAAGAAGAAGAAGAAGAAGAAGAAGAAGAAGAAGAAGAAGAAGAAGAAGAAGAAGAAGAAGAAGAAGAAGAAGAAGAAGAAGAAGAAGAAGATGATGATGATGATGATGACGGTGAAAAGGAAGAAGAAGAAGAAGAAGAAGAAGAAGAAGAAGAAGAAGAAGAAGAAGAAGAAGAAGAAGAAGAAGAAGAAGAAGAAGAAGAAGAAGAAGAAGAAGAAGAAGAAGAAGAAGAAGAAGAAGAAGAAGAAGAAGAAGAAGAAGAAGAAGAAGAAGAAGAAGAAGAAGAGAAGAAGAAGAAGAAGAAGAAGAAGAAGAAGAAGAAGAAGAAGAAGAAGAAAGAAGAAGAAGAAGAAGAAAGAAGAAGAAGAAGAAGAAGAAGAAGAAGAGAAGAAGAAGAAGAAGAAGAAGAAGAAGAAGAAGAAGAAGAAGAAGAAGAAGAAGAAGAAGAAGAAGAAGAAGAAGAAGAAGAAGAAGAAAAATGGACCAGTTGTATAACTAACTGAACGTGCCGATGACAATGCCAAACGATTGAAAATTCCAAAGTTTATTATCTTCGTATATTTACATTTATACCTCGCTGGCGAATAATATAATAAACACATAATTTACTGCTAGCCCATGCCGTTCCCTTTATATAAATTCTTCTCTGCATATTTAAAGATACGTATATCATTTGTTTATGTTCATTCCTTGTTTATGTGTCTTATATTTTAGTTTTATAATATAGTTTTTATAAATTTTGAAATCATCTGTTTGATTTGTATTTAAATATTGTGTTAGTTTCATACTGTAATGTTTATTTGTGAACGCGTCTTTTACACGATTTTCTTTAAAAAAATGTTCACAAACTCAAGGTTATGTCAGTGTGTTGGAGAACGAGCAGGCAGATAGATTGGCCGGTTCTGCAGCACTTTGTTGTGAACTAATGAATGACAATGTAGACTTTGTGGTAGCCCTTTTGGGAGCGATTAAACAGTGCAGAGGCGTAAACACAGATGATTCAGGTATGAGGAGAATGTCGCTGCGAGGTAATCTGACCGATGCTCAACACTCAAAGAAAAGGCGAGACGGAATATAACAATCAGACAGTGACTGGTGCCATTGGGATGGAACTTTTCTGCTGCTGCTGAAGAATGAGAAGCGCGCTTATGGGAGTGACCTGAGTACTGTGATGCGATTCTTAATTCAATATTCAAGCTTTACAATAGTTTCATCTTCTCATCTCATCGTTATCCTTTCGTTGCCTGCGACAAGGACAGGAATCACGAATGACTGAAGTGTTCCCATGTGTATACTTCCTGCTCTGGGATTTGATGAAATTCTGTTCTTCTGTTATTTGGTTGACTTCTTTTTCGATTTCCACTTAGTCTGAACACCATTGGCTTGTGTAGCGTCTAGATGATCGCCTGCGAATTGGAAAGTCGTGGGTTCGGGTCGTGACGGAGCCGGACCATTTAGTTTAAAAAGGACCTTTCCTCTCAGATCGACACATCCTTGAGCGAGTACCAGGTACAGTGCTGGGAAGAAAAGGCGGCCGGCGTGATGTTGACCACATCACCCACCCAGTACCGATTAGTCTATAGAATATAGGTCTAGCCCTATATTCCCAATACACATGGAGACGTGGAAAATGGTTGTTTTACTTTAACAGTGCATCATTGATTGTTCTCCCTTTGTGTTTTTCCCTGATTGTTGTACCTCTGTGTGTTTCCCTTTTTGTTTTCCCTTTTGTGTGTTTTTCTGCTTGTTGTCCCTCTATGTGTTTCCCTGATTGTTGTCTCTCTGTTTGTTTCCCTGATGGCTGTCCCTCTATGTGTTTCCCTGATTGTTGTCTCTCTGTGTGTTTTCCTGATGGCTGTCCCTCTATGTGTTTCCCTGATGGTTGTCCCTCTGTGTGTTTCCCTGATGGCTGTCCCTGTGTGTGTTTCCCTGATGTTTGTACCTCTGTGTGTTTCCCTGATGGTTGTCCCTCTGTGTGTTTCCCTGATGGTTGTCCCTGTGTGTGTTTCCCTGATTATTGGAAGGTAAAAAAAAAAAAAATTGCGCCTTAACTAGCATGACGTGAAAGGTGACAACTTAGGGATTTGCTAAACTGGATGACCTGTGACAAATCTCTCAGACATCACATCCTGGCTGTAAACAACAACATAAAGTGTCCACCTTTCTTTTATGGCTGAACACAGGAGAAAATTGAGAAGAAGAAAAATAAGAAAAAAAAATTGCTTGTTGTTTTACACTGTCTGTTGGCAGCAACGTTGCAGTGAATGATCAAACCATTTCACTTGATGTTTTACGGTGAAATTGAACGTTGCTACGACCATCAATTTCTTTGGGATTACATAACTTCTAACCTTACAGTTTCTGGTTGTAGTGAGTTTTCCTCTGACCTACTTACTGTCTTTGTTTTACATTTTACAATTATGTCATTAAATCCATTGTGTGATTATTCGTAAACGTTCGTAAACGTATGCTCTGTTGTTCATCCTCTGTTTATTCTCAGAAAATAAAAAGACATAATTAACAAAAACATGTTTTGTATGTTACATTATTTTGTTGTTAAAACTAACGGGCTTGTCCCTCTGAATAGTTGTTTACATGTCTTTTGACTTGAGACGCATCAAGAGAAGCCGCAACAGGTATCGGAAGCCAAGTTTAAATACAAAAGGAATTGTAAATCCCAAACAAATTTCATCATAAATTAACATAAAATAATGAAGTCCTAGAGCATCTAGACGCTTCTTTCTTTCTAGTGTATACGGTTGTTTTCATACAGTATTGTTTTCCATTTGTCATGTTTTTATCTCTGGTTTCGGGTAGCTAGCGTCCTTTGGATATGTTCTCTAGGTGAGCTGGTGTATTGGGAAGAAAGCAGGCAGATAGTCTGGCCGGTTCTGCACTACTTCGTGATGAACTGATGAATGACGAGCTAGATGTGAGGACCTTCTGGGAGCGTGTAAACAGTCGGAGCCACAAGTATATCATTACGTTCTCAGGAGAATGGTGCTTTGGGGAGTTACTAGGGGATCTGGTCCACGCTCAACACTCAATAAATAGGCGAGACGGATATACAATCAGATAATTTCTGGTACCATCGCAGCTCTTCACTTTCTGCTGAAGATACGGACATAGCTCCTACGGGAGTGTCCCAAGTGCTATAATTTCGATTTTAAATTCAATATTCAACATGTATCCTTAAAAAAAAATATTAAAGTATTCAAACAAAATAATGTACAGTTTCAATAATGAGCCATAAATGAAAAAAAAAAAAAACAGCATTCGTATGCATTTCACAAGTTTGTTTATTTATTATCAATAATAATATTCTAAGACGGCAATGAAATAATAAAACAGATACAGCAGTCAGTCAAGACAACCAAACATATACAGCAGTCAGTCAAGACAAACAAACATATAGTTTTTTGTTTATTACTTATAGAAGGTTAGAGAGGCATTTACAACATGACCTTTGTGGTTTTTCTAGGCAAATTAATTTACATGCAGTAGTTTGCCATTGCCATTGCCTCTGGATTGTCGGCGTCTGATAGCACTGTCGAAATCATCGCAAACCCGTCTCCTGCCAAATCGCCCGCTGCCGGAATCTTACAATATTACAAAGAGCATTTTCAAGGCCGAAACCAGAGACCAGGACTAGGACACGTACATCTGCCATTTAACAGAACATTTTCCGAGGGCTCATTTCGGAGGTGGGGGAGGGGAGGGTCTTTTTTCCCTCCAAAGACAGAGCGCATTAGCAGGAGAGGCAAGACCCTAAAAGTATGCACACACATGAGACAGATATGTAAAACCGATGTACACACAAAATTCTTTACCAGGAACAATACAAAAGTACAGAAGTGGACGAACAACCAGAACTTTCTGCCAGAGTTGACAGCCAGAGAATGCTACGTAGAAGGAGAAAAGGAGGACTAAAATAGACACGGCATATGCTGGAGAAAGATGATCTAACTATTGACGCACAAAAGTCTGTCTATCTAAATAAGACTGGATG